TCAAAATGCACTCCAGCAACAAATTCCCATTTTAATCAGTCTCTTGTAACCTGATGTGAGTAGACTATTTTTTGTTTCCTCTATAGTTTTGTTTTCGGTTCTGAAAACTGTCCATATACCTTACAATTAAATTTTCCATGTTTCCCGATTTTATCTTGTATAGATCAGATTATTGTGTTGTATCCAGTCGTATTTGTGTGATAGAAAGGACCTTTTAACTCTAGGACTTGTGAATTGCGCTGAAAGGGCAGTTAATTTTAATAGCAGGGGACCGTAGATGACTTTGTCTTAATCCTTTTTCGTCTCTTGAACAATGGAACTATATTCTACATGTATCAGTCACGATTGGGAAAGTGAATTAAACTTGTACATAAATTTACATTTACGCGAAGAAGTTCTGTGAGGTTCACTCTATTCAAGAGAACTTGAAGACTTCTATCAGTTGATGGACAATATCATTTATCTATATCAAAGGAAAACATGAAAATCTATCTTTAACCCAAGTAAGAAAATATCGAAAGACAAAAGTTAGGGAAAAGGAAAACTGGAGTTTTGAAGAGGATGCTCATTAGGATCCGGTTGATTTACATTTTGTTTCGAGCAATATCAAACAAAATTTTTCAGGTTTTTAAACACCTAAATGTCTTAAAGCACCCCACCCATTATTTATAAAATCTTGTATTATTTTGTTTATCATATAAACACAATAGCCCTTTACTGACAAGAATAGTCGACTTAATTAATGAATAAAAATAATAAAAATGGCACAGTGGGTTGGCGCTAAGGCTCAGGATGGAAATAGTCGTTGAATCATGATTACAAAAACAATCATGGACGTAAATTTAAATTTACAAAATTCTCATTCATCTTTACCAACAGAAGAAATCTTTCAGGTAAACGGCCACATCGGCCTGTGGCAAATCTTCCAGTTGCCGATTTTCGCTCTCGGCGGTGAGAAATGCTGTTGTTAAAGCTACTTAATACTTACATTTCGGTTTTTTTTTTCGTATACTGGTTTTCTTTCCCTTCTAGGAAAGTTTTAACATCACTGTCTGTAAGTGATACGGATTTTTCATTTTTAGCTGCCATAATCCGAGAAAATTCCCACAAACTACTTCTCAAGCCATCCCGTCTACTCTTTTAATTACTATAAAAAATACTTAATCAAGGCGCCATTTTTTTGCCCTCACCTCAAAATCGATATGATAAATTCTAATTAATTTTAGCTGTGGAGTATTAGCACGCAGAAAACTATGCCTCTTGTTGTTACCCAAAGTAAATATGAAACCAGGTACAAACTTAAGTCGGCGTTCCTCTTTTTTATGTAATTGACGCCAAATTGATTTCTACAACGACATTGGACATGTATGATTAACCGTTCTACGCTACCGCGCAGAAAATATTTATGCAATTTCTATGAAAAGAATCGGTGGCCTTAAATGAACCTTCTCCTTCTCTTCTAGCTAGGGATAGTTATCAGATTCGGATGACCCAGACCAAAACGAAACAGTAACCAATCGCTGCTCAGATTCACTTTCATGTGACATCTTACCAAGGCAACAATAATACATTCATCTTGGCGTCCGAAGGCCGAACCACACTGAATGTACTAAACCGAGTGTTTTCCGTCTGAAAATTTCGATTGTAGCCAAAATTGTGCAAATGGAAAGGTACAATTTCAGACCCATATTAGAATTGAAAAATATAATAGCTTCTTCTTCTTTTTTCTATCGTGTACTGAAATGAGAGGGTTGCTTTGAATGAAAGCTTCTCGAAACAAGTAAGAAGTTGGAAGATCTACACTGCTATGGCCGCATCCACTCCTTCCTCTTCCATTTCTGATTTGGTCAATGAAAGGCTTCTCTCCACCTCTCCGCGCTGTTCCTCGCTGCAATGGAATGCCAAGCCTCAGGATGTGGATTATGAAAGCGCAAATTGAAACCTATTCTGGACCAGGAATACGCAAGTCAAGAGGAAATGTACAAACAGAATGGTGACTCAGCTATTGAATCTATTACAGCAGAGTGAAGAAACATATGTCTCTAACAATAAACAATAATACTCAAATTCAAGGAGTTCATCAAGAAACACCAACAGAGAATGAAAACTTTCTAAAGCTACAAAATGTCCTAGCCCTAGTGCAAGACAATTTACAGAGCAGAGACTTCGAGCAAGACTTCGTTGGATGAAAGAATCTCAATGAAGGGCAAAATTAAATAACCCTTATTTTATTCAAAACATGAAAGAAAACTTCCATCGGTAAATTATAGTATGGAGAAAAGTAAGAAAAATTTGTTTCATAACACCTTTTGCAATGTTGAAAATCATCTCATCATCAGAACATAAGAATAATCACATAAAACTACCTAAATCAAGGCCATTCAAGAAGATTCATTATTTTCAAATAAACAAATAAAGTAAAAGTGGGGAAACAATTAAAATTGTGCTTTTGCAGCTAGAAACTAAATCTTAGACCCATAACTCCAGTGAAATGAAGAAAGATGTTAACACCCAATGCCATGGTCGGAGCAGTTACACAGTTTCATGTGAGTCAACAACAATAATGGAAATGATGACCCAGATATGCAGAAGGAAATGTTCAGTGATTGAACATAAACTTCATGGTCATGATCTTTCATAATAAAAGTTCCTGCTCAGCGTGCATATCCTGTTTAAGTTCACTGACACACTGAATTAAATTGACACACTAATTTGAAGCACAGTGAAATATCTGTAAAGAGATATTACGGATTTATTGAAACAAAACAATACAATACAATACAAAAAGTCCAAAAGACCATCTAAAAAAATAACATAAGATATTATATTTATTTATGCTTTCAGTAAGTCATATGCAAGGCAGATGAATTGATAGTTCCTTGACACAACATGGAATTGAATTTGTTGGAAACCTTACACCTGCATCTCATTAATTTTCATGAAACAATACTTAAATAATTCAACACATTTGTTGTCTGCTTTTTCTAAATTGCGATTAAATCTGGACTTTGAGAGATGAAGAAATAGCCATGAAGAGGATATGCTACAGTATGTACCACTAAAACCAAATTACATTTTTGTTTATTGAACCCCAATTTAGTTTATGACCATTTCATGTCTATAAAAAAAACCACTTGAGTACTTGAATTGGTAAAAAAAAAATTTCACTATCTTCTCTGAATAACATAAGGAACCATCATTGGTTTTAAAAGGTTTCCTTACAAACTAAGTATAGTCCAGTGATAAGAAATCGTCAATTAGATAAAAAATGTTCGAATGATAAAAACAGAGACTAAAAGCATCGTAGAAAACACAACATGGCGGTTGGCGACTGATTAAGCGGTAAATCAAGACCACTCCATGCACTTGTTTTCCTGCAGTTTGCATCCTGATAATTAACAGTTGAATCGAAAGAAAATAGATTGAAGAACAGCTCCATAATTTTTTTTTGACTCCGGAAATTTATTTACTCACCTAAACTTTGGGGCAAAGTTGAAAGACATACCTCAATCAATCAAACGTGTCATTTCAACTGTCCTGTTATTTCTATACTTAAATATTCGCCTACATCGCTCCTTGATGACCACCATCTTGAGCACTCGCGAAGATGAGTATCTATTTACTAATTTCCAATCGAATTATCGTACAATATGGCGCGTAATAGCGAATAAACAGCGGACATTTCGGATTAGGTACGAAAATCGGTCAGTGCAAAATGCAGACTGCAGATTGCAGACTGGGTGCAAACTACAGACCGTGAATTTTAAAGTGTTTTTACGTCTGATACGTGATAACATATCATCTAACAACTAATCGAGGGTCACGCAATCGCTTTTCCTCGATCATCTTTCACGATCATCTGTGCTATTGTGGAACATTCCTTGCCCGTTTCTTTATAAATTTTGTTTTTAACAAGGCGGTCATTGCATTTGGTTTTTAACAAAGCGGCCAGAATCGTTCTTAATAGAATTTCAAGCCTTCGTATAGTATGATAAATTCGTACTAACCCGCGGCCGACTAATGCCTTCTCAGGGTTGTCATAAAAGTTTGAGTAACCGGACTGTGATACAAAAACGGCGGCACTAAAAAGTTCTATTTCCATCGTTTTCATTCTTTCAGCCGGGTACTAGACAGAGAGGTCAGAACTCTGGAAACTTTTTTAAGGGGGCGGTGTATGTTGAGATCATAGAAAGATGCCAAAACTAACGATAACAACACCTTATGCCTCTCTCGCCTCCTTTGCAGATACTACTTTGTCTGTAACTCTTATGCAGGACCAATATCAAACCCCAGTTTTTTATTACACCAAGACTACCATATTTCCTCGAAGGGTCAAAAAGAAATTTTCGCTTAAGGTGTAGGGCCATCTACCTTTTGATGAGCCTTTTTAAATTAGTTATGGGAGGAGGTGGTAATGGGAATAAATTGCGCATGAAAGGTCTGTGTCGTATGAAAACTGTGCAGGTCACGAGGAAAAAGCGACATGCCCATAAAGATAATGGGCTTTCAGATTCTCTGCCATTTATAGACCTTTTAATTCATCTTCAAGTATCGTTCAGAGCGCGAGAAAAGGAAAGAGCCGAAGGGTATTTAAAGAACAAGAACTCTTTTGAAACTCCTATGGACAGAAGGCCACAGCAGCTTCATCCTCTATTAGGCTGTCACCGAGCGCTTAAGAGAGAAAGAGAAAAAAGGAGAGGACTTGGTTAGGATGGTGACTCCTTCATTTCCTTTCAATTGAGTCTCTTTTTTTCACCCATTATCCCCCCCCCTCCCTTCCACCGCTCCTTTCATATTTGTTGTACCGGAAGGCTGATGTTTGAAATTTGCATGGTCTCAAGAATCAACTGAAAATAATGAGACTGAGAAGAATTGGAGCCGAGCATTTTTTTTTCTTAACTCTCACCTACATTTAGTTGACACGATTACTGCAACACTTGATTGTCTATCCCAGCTACTGTGCACGTACCCCTCAACTCAACGGTAGTAGCCTGGCCTTCATGGCGTCAAGACGTGCTTTTCTGGGCTCTCGTATTTTAGCGCTTATCTTGGTCTCAATATGCCTTGTTAACTGGGATTTCGACTCAAATTTATCCTTTCTTGAGTTAGATCAAGTGTGTATGCTTGCTAGATATCATCCTCACAGATCCTTCAATTTTTTCGACTTCGACTTCCATACTTTGGTTGAAGAGAGACGTCTTGGTTCGTCATTCTACCGCGGCGGAGGTTACTTATCATTTAGGATAAGTCTTTATCCGAATTCGGTGTCTACCTTCCAGCTCAATCGTTTAATTATAAGTGGAGATATAAGTGAGAATCCTGGACCAGATAAATGTTCTGTATGTACGAACACTGTCGCCAAAAACCATCGTGCAATCTCCTGTGATTCGTGTGCTGGATGGTGTCATATTAAGTGCGGAAAATTTAAACCAAATGACTACAAGAAACTACAGTTGGCTGATGACTTTACCTGGTTTTGCCCTGCCTGCCTATCTCAACCATCATTAACATCTTCTCACTCTTCGCTACTATTAAATACTACATTTCAACATGGCCGATGTAAGCACTCGCTTGATTGTATGGTAATTAATGCACGTTCGCTTCGAAACAAGCTTCTTGACTTTCAGGGGGTTGTTTATACCAGAAAAATCGATATTGTCATTGTATCGGAGACCTGGCTTGACAACACTGTACCTGATTATGAAATTTTGCCGAATGGATATACAATCTTTAGGAAAGATCGAATTGGTCGCAGAGGCGGTGGTGTGTTGTTGGCATTCAAATCTCAGATCATGGCCTGGAGAAGATATGACTTAGAGGCTAACTGCGAATTAGTATGTTGTGAATTCCTTTCGTCGCTTGGTCAAAAGATCTTATTTGGTGTTTACTATCGCCCACCGAACACTGGTGCTGAGTATTTTCAGTGTCTACGTGACTCACTTGCTACCATCGATGACAAATTTGACAAAATTTTTCTTGCCGGTGATTTTAACCTCCCTGGTTTTGACTGGATTAACCAGGTTCCACTCTCCTCTGAGCCTTTATACTTAGATGCTTACGAACTTTTGAACGATTCATTTCTTACTCAAGTAAATTTTCACCCCACTCGTAATAACAGCATTTTGGATTTGGTGCTTACTACTGTTCCAGATCTCATATCTGATATATATTCTTTTCAAGATATTGTGGACTCTGATCATAACTGTGTATCTTTCAAGGTTCATTTTGCTCCTACCACTTCAAGGCCTGTGTCCAAAGAAGTCTTTAATTACAAAAAGGTCAACTTCAAAGAGCTCAGGGAAACACTCTCATTTGTCCCTTGGCATGTTGCCATGTTGGATGATAATTTGGATAATACTGTTTCAAACTGGGAAGATTTATTCCGATACTATCTAAAGTCCTTGAGAGACATGTCCACACAAGATTGTATCATCATGTCTCGGATTTTTTAAACGTTAATCAGCATGGATTTAGGCAGCACCGATCATGTGTCACACAGCTTCTTCAATTTGTGCACTCTACTGCAAAATCCCTCGATGCTGGCATACAGACAGATGTCATATACCTCGACATGGCTAAAGCATTCGATAAAGTTCCTCACGAGAAATTGCTTTAAAAGCTGGAGATGGTTGGTGTAAGGGGTCAACTCCTTGCTTGGTTTAGAAGTTATTTGACCAACAGGCGTCACAGAACTGTCATCGAGGGGTATGCTTCTGACTGGAGATATGTTCCATCTGGCGTCCCTCAGGGCTCAATTATCGGTGCTCTTCTTTTCCTTATTTTTATTAATGATATTACTGTTAACATCGATGCTGATACAAATATGCCCCTTTATGCAGACGATGCAAAATGCTTTAGAGAATTGCTAAGCTTAGATGATCATGACGCTCTTCAAAAAGACCTCTATTCAATTGAAGACTGGAGTGACCTCTGGGGTATGTCCTTTAATGGTTCTAAATGTAAACATCTTAGTATCTCCAAAAAGAAAAAGCCTACGAATTCATCCTATCAACTTGGTAACAATATCATCGCGATGACTCGGTGTGAAAAGGATCTAAGAATTCTTGTTAACAATAAATTGTCCTGGCATGATCATATTGTTAACAAAGTCAATACAGCTAATAAGGTTTTGCGTCTAATAAGAAGATCTTGTGGGTCGTGTGTCATTGCTGATGTAATTAAAAAGCTGTATGTCCACCTCGTTAGACCACATCTTGATTACGCCTCTCAAGTGTGGTCTCCTCATCAAGCTTATTTAAGTGATATGGTAGAGGCTGTACAACGTCGGGCGACTAAGCTCATGGTCGGGAATAGGATTCCTTACAAAGAACGTTTGAATAAGACTGGTTTGATGTCACTATCTTCTAGACGTATCTATCTAGACTTAATTTTTTTATTCAAATGCCTGCATAGTTATTATGATCTCGACATCTCTAAGTACCTGCAGTTTTATGATTCTGAGCATGAACCCTATAATTTAAGGAACACTGAACTAACCTTTAATACTAACTATGCAAGAACAGAATTATTTAGGTCTTCTTTTTTTTCCAGAGTTGCTCGTCTTTGGAATAATTTACCTATATCTATTAGGAGAAGGGAATCACTATCAATGTTCAAAAATGACCTAAGACGCTACTGTTTTGCTATCGATAGCAGTGATTTAAAGTGATTGTTACTTAATTTTAGTTAGCACTTAGTTTTAACATGTAGCATTTTACCATACTCGTTTTATGATATTGCCTGTAATTATGTATACTTTACTTTTGTCCACATAGTTTCTGGTGGCCTTTATCTTTAGAGAAGTTCATTCCTGTTGCTAGGTCTTCCATCAGCTATTAATTATATGTTTGTATGTACATATATTTATTTGCTGTAAATTGATTAAAGAGTAAAAACTTACCCAACATAGACCCTAACTTGTTATCGTTAGACTGTTTTTGGGTTACGGCAGGGGCAGGGGCGCAGTTCCTCTGACATTGATCCAAGTACACAGTCCGCACCAAATGCGATACGTAAACGAATCAAAACAAGTCACAACCTTTAGGGAGCTAGTTTCCGTTCTCATAAGAAAGCAGATTTTACCTTTTCTGTCTCTTATAACAGCACATCAAAACCAGATATCTGTTTATTGTCACTCTCTCGCGCTTCCTTAGAAACATTAAAATCCAAAACTGAAGCTTTCAAATACCACTTTAGAGAACACGAGATCTCTTTGAAGAGATCTGATTCGCTGATTTAAATTTAAATCTAATGAAAGGTCAGTTTCTGGGAATCTTAAGCAAAACTGGGCTGTGTTTTTCTCTGCTATTCGTGATGGAGTTGCTTTTTAAAAAACCTTAAAGAGCATGTAGCATGTTCAATTTGTTTAGATACTTACACCAAATCGAAGACCATTGCTTGTCTTCATACGTTCTGCAGTGAATGCCAAGAGAGACATCCATTAACGAGCCAAAAACAAGGCTTCGAGGGTTTTATCGATGCCCCGAGCGTCAGGCACAAGTTCGCATCCCTGAAGGAAAGCGTTTTGATGATCTGCCAAGCAGTTTTCTATACAACATTTTGTTGAGTCTTCTCCCCGTTCGACGCGGCGGCGAAGGAAATAAGATCAGTTATAATACATGCCAGAAGAAGAGCTCGGAGATCAACTACTGCTTTGATTGCGAGACGTTTATGCGCTGGGACTGTGCGAAAGCTTTGTTTCAGGGACACAAAGTGACACCGATGCGACAGTTTCCACAGACTACGAGACCTTATTGAACGACAGTCATTTTGCTCCGTTAAGTATCATGTGAAAGAAGTAAAAAAGAGTTTTTCTGCGTAGGCTGTCAAAGCTGAGTGTGTCAATTTTGCATCGCCTCTGATCACAAGAGCCACGATGTTGTTTCGCTTGAAAAGGCAGTGGACGATGAAAAACAAACATCGTTGCCACAACGAAGCTGGTCAAAGAGAAGAAGGAGGTCTGCCCGAGAAGTTGTTTGTGACTTTGAGAGGACGTAACATGAGCTGGAAACGAAGATTACCGCAGCTAAACGCCAGGTTTCCCAAGCAGCCGAACAGATGATGGAAAAGCTTCGTCAACTGGAACGTGAAGCCATTACTGCCTTCGAGAAGACTCGAGTGTCAAGGATAGAGAAATTACACTCTGGAAAAGCATCGGTTGTCTCTTTCGAAAAGCAACTTGACCAGGCATTTGAGTTTAGTAAAAACCTGGTTGAAAGAGGCTCAAGTTCAGACATAATGCAAAACAAGAAACATTTAGGAGAACGAATCGCACGTCAAGACCACAATGCCAGCTCTTCCGGTAAGCTCGTCTGTAGAATTTGTGTCGAAATGTGAACCAGAGAGTTTGTGTCTGGGATTTACGAAATTCAGGGGAACAGATGTGCCAGGATCGACCGTGGAAGGACTGGATCAGAATTTCCAAGCTGGTGTAGAAGCGGAGTTACTATTTTGTCCAAAACAAGCGAAGGAGAGATCAGAAACACTCAGCACACAGATCGTGTGGAAATACACTTGTGTTGCTGATCAGGTGAGGAGTTTGGAGAGGAGTGATGAACAAGATGAACTTTTCCTAGCAAAATTTTTAGCGAAAGTACCAGGTACTTATAAAATGGAAGTAAAGATAAATGGACAGAAACTTGCCAAGAGTCCGTTTTCATTTCCAGAAAAAGTACGAGAGTTAAATATTATAGGCAAGTTGGACTTTCCGTGAGAAATGCCTCCGAGTCCAGCAGGCATTGCAGTGAACAGTAAAGGTGTTATTGCTGTGACTGATTTGGATGGTCACTGTTTCCAGGTATTTGATGAAACAGAAAAGTTTGATTCTGGTGGCAGATGAATGTAATCACCGAATACAGCAGTTGAACGTACAGACAGGGAACTTTGTGAAAAGCTTTGGTAAACAGGGAAGTGGAGATGGAGAGTTTAAGATACCTACAAGTGTTTGTATTTCAAGTGATGGGTGGTTTATGACAACAGCAGAATTTAGGTTTTTACAATGGATGGTGAACCTGTGTTTAAGTTTGGAGACAGCGGCCCAGAAAGGCTGGATCATCCGCTCGTTTGCATCTGTTGCGTGGACAAATGCATTGTAACTGACCTCGAAAATAACTGTGTGAGAGTGTTTGGTGAGAGAAGAAAGTTTTTGTATTAGTTTGGAAAAAAAGGAAACGGTGATGGACTATTGAATCGGCCGTATGGCTTATGTGTTGACAAACATGACTACGTTTCTTATGTGAAGGTGATCGCATTCAACAGTTTACATTGGAAGGAACTTTCACTGGAAAGACAAGTACTAATATTCAATTTGGATGGCCCTGGGGTGTTACCACAATGCTCGATGATCAGATTTTGGTCACAGACCTCAAAGGGAAAGAAGTTTACTTTCTGAACTGAATGCCCGTTTTCGAAAGTAACATTCAATTCTTCGTAAACGAACCTCTTCCGAATATCTTTAAGTTTTATTATTTTATTAATTTACGTAAACTTGTGCCATGACATGTGTTGCAAGAGAATGCGAAAGAAAATGGCTAGAATCAGCAATTTGCCTTCTAATTTTTTCAGGAGAGTTCAAAGAGTTGTTGATTCATCACTTCGGTAATGTGATTGTTTATGTTGTAAATTAATTATGGTATTAGTACCAAGTAGAGTCCAACACGGTCTGTAATGATACGAGTGATTGACAAAGTTGGACGACAGCGCAAAGCGAGAGTCCGATTTGTCCATAACGGGTTTGAGAAAGCAATTAGACATCGGTTATACGTTTTCATCAAAATACGAACCGTCAAATCGTCGAAATGCACAACAACAGCGAGTGCTCATGACACGCACTGTCCACTTACACAGACATGACGTGTTAACTGTTCTATTCAACTGTCCAATTAAAAGCATGATGCATACACTGTCCTATTGGTGCTCAAATCAATCACGTTCAATAATTTTGTTATAGTTTTGATTAACCACAAAATCGATTTCAGACGAGATTAAGCTTTTTAACCGTGTAAAGACCTAAGAATGATGTAAGGGCAAAAAAAGACATTTGTGCAAAATAACTGTACATTGGCACTGATTATTGTAAATTATTATGCGTGGATGATTTCTAATTATCAGATTTACACTTTTTCAGTATGTATAAATAGAATTTTCTCTGATAATATTTTGGTAGACTTTTAGTTAAATTTGGTGACAGTAGTCCGCTCGTCAGATGGAGCATGCTTTTATATCAAATTATTCAATTAACACTTATGGACAGTAGCTTGCATGATTAAGCTGTAAACAATTTGACAATTCCGTGGTACTACGTAGCTTTTGGAGGATGACATTTGAAAAGTGATTAGAAACCATCTAAAGGCTGAGGAGTGTTTTGAATGCATCAAGTTGGCATTTCTATCAAGGTATTCTATCCATGGAGAAGTTTTCATGAATAAGTATTATGACAATGTAGGTTGATTGAATGGTTAACTGATATTATAGGATATTTTCCATTGTATTCATAAACTGTTCTACAGTACTTATCTTTTAGGTTTGTATATAGCATTGCCCATTGTTAAAACGAAATTTTACTGAATGCATCGTGAATAAATTTACTGGTTTGATTTGCGAACGTGAGGATTACTTTTTGACTCTGCCAGATTACATCAGTTGATAGCTAAGACGTAACGTTCGCAAGAAGTAATTAAAAAATGACTTCAAATTCGTTCTTCTTAGAGTATTTACATCAATTCAATTTGCAGTTTCCTCTTTTATTCTCTTGAACTTCATTTTCCAATGTCTTCTCTCACTGCAATATTTCCCACAAATTTGTCAAAACTGCACCGGGCCTATTTTATTGAGGACTTTGTTGCTGATGGATGGCTTCATCGTCATGACGCAATCCGTGAAAATGAGTGTTGTTCGGGGAATCCCCGAATCATTGTTATGCAACATTTTCCCTAGAAACTCCATATGTCACCTTGCAAGGTTTCTCGGAAATGAATCATTTGACAGGTCCAGATTTTCAGCGAATTAAAAGTCTCTTTAGTTCAAGATTTTTAGACTTTTTAGCATGTGAACTTCTGGAATATTCGGGTAATTCCGTCTTTTTCGCATCATTTGATCAGGATGGATGTGGCATTATCTCATTAGTCAGCAAAGACTGATTGCATACATATCTTTCCGTAGTAGGTAATTTCTATTTTTGCACCAACCGATGCTGTAATAGCTTCATGTGATCTTATTCCAGAAACTCATGTGCTCAGACTGATTGCATACGTAAAATGGTCATTGTAGCTTCTTCTATCGGCGCTTCTGGCTTTTTCTTCGTATTGTTTACATCCGCTTTTCTCGGAAAAGATTACTTCATTGTGTTGCTCTTTCTAGGAAACGTTCGTCAATTAGACGTAAAGTTCATTTTGATGCAATTATTATAGCATCAACTTTGTTATTGGACCTTCTTGAAGAAACACTTATCGTAGAGATGGCCTCATGCTTAATCTACATTGGTAGACTCCTTTTCTTCGCCTTGGTAGGCCTCCAGGCTTACTCGTTGGCTTCGTATCCTGCAGAATACAAACACAAAGATAGTTTCTATGGATTGGTTGTCCTGTACATACCTGCAGCTGGTTTATGGCTTTACATCATGTGCGACGACAAGAAATTACAGTGGTTATTTGCTGTCTGGACGTGCTATATCGTTGGGTTCGTAATCTTCGTCGCGATCATATTTGGAGGCGACGAACCGATCGAAGATAACCTCGACAAAGCGAAATTCTTCGGTCCAAACATTCTAAAGACGACACTTTGCCTTGCCCCACTGATTCTGTTGTTACTTTTAAGTACAGGAACGAATTCCATCGTCTACCGAGACCTGATCTGGCAGTTGTCTCTCCGAATGGCGTTGGATCTTTTCGATGGAGTGGAAATGCTGGATGTCATTATTGAAGAGAATGAATTCAGCCATGGTGTTTCCAAAGACTTTGAAAAAGCAATGCTTGCATTCGTCTGTATCAGCTTTCTGCTGTCTCCATTACAACTGGTCGAGATAAAGATAACAGGTTCCGGACGGTGGAAATTTCGCAAATGTACAGCCGGTTTGCGCACAATCTTACAAATAATCTGTGTCAATTGCGTGTTTTTAGGGCTTCGTATGTATCTATGGCGGGGCTACGAGAAAGAGGCATCCATTTTTATTGCTAAAAATGCTATTGTCATTTGCCTAGGTCTCTTTGAGATATGTTCAATCTGTGAGTGTTGTGGTTGTGACGATTACTAAGCTAGATTTTGAGTAATCAGTAGAGTGCCTATGATCTGGATAATACTGTTGTAACGAATTTGAGTGACGTTTGCTTTTCAAATGGAGAAGGAAATGTTAACGAAGTTTTTTCCTTTGTTATTCAACAGCAGTTTTCTATATATATATATATATTCATCCATTAGAGTGAATTTGTCATAACCCGCTCGTTATATTCTAATGAGTTTGTCACTATATTCTAATGAGAGGAGCACTAAAGAACGGTTATGAAGATTTAGTCAAATACGTTTTCACCGCTAATAATTTCCCCATGAAAATTCCCCAATTAACCGATGCTGCAATAAGTTATGATTTTCTTCGGATAGTTAATTAATTATTTGCCCCTCCAAACATTGTACTTTCTGTTTTTGGAAGTGTAACGAGTTTGTATTTTTAAACTCTAAATCTTTGTTCTAACAGTTAATAAAACAATTATTCAGAAAAACCTTCGGTGTTGTCGATACACTCTCATGATCTGTCGACCAAAACAGTTACAATCCTAACTGTCAGACTAAATTGATCACATTATGCAAGCTGAACGTCATTCACTAAGCAAAGAAACCCCAAATTTTTCAAGATCGATTTTAGAGAAGTCGTTGGAAATTATTTTCATAATGACGCACGTTTTGTTATCTTTCACCTTGATCCTTCTAACCACCAGCAACCTTTCGAGGGACTGCTGAAACTGGCTATAAGCAAACAAATTCCTTAGAAAAATAAGCCTATAGCAGCTTTGACAAATTTATCGGATATGTTACAGTGAGAGAAGGAAATATTAGAAAATGAAGTTCAAGAGAATAAAAGAGGAAACCGCAAATGAACTTTATAATATATAGATTTAGCCAAGCTTAAAAGCGGAGCTCTTATTAGTTTATTTTCCAGCCCTACGTTACACTGAATAAAAACTGTAATAAAACTATCTACAGGCAAGTCTTTGTATTATGTTTCAACCCAACCATTTCCTAAACATATAAACACTACCCTTGCGAACTGAATTCCCAGTTTTCTGGGAATTCCTAGGAATTCTCAAATATTCCCAATTATGCAAATGACCCTTGCAAACTGAATTCCCAGTTTTCTGGGAATTTCTGGGAATTCCTAGGAATTCCTAGGAATTCTCAAAAATTCCCAACTATGCAAATTAACTCTGATTTAAAAAGCTTGGAATTACTGGGAATTTCTGGGAAAGGAAGACTCCAGTTTTGTGAGGACTTGGAATCCCTAGGAATTCCTAGGAATTCTCAGCTTTACAAAATACCTATAATTTAAGAAGTGTGGAACTCTTGGGAATTTCTGGGAATTGAATTTGAGGCAATTTTAATACCCTCAGGTCCACATAAATTCTAAGAAATTCTCAATACCTTGAATGTGAAGGTTTTAAGAAAAAGAGTAATTTCAGAGGCTTAAAACTCAGGCTCAATAAAAGGTATGCTATACAAAACTTACCAAGAGATATACATACATGTACATGTTTATAACTTAAAGATCATGAAATTTATTACTCAAACTAAGTTTTAGTAAATCTTTACATTAATATGGATTTTCTCATGAACCAGCTGTCAGTTATGTTAAATGGAAATTGCCAACTTCCACAATAATTAACAATAATTACATTGTTATCTTACTTCCCTAACCTACATTACTGGTTGCCTTTGTTAGAAAACCTTGGAACAGTCAAGCTCAGTTGCCTCAAACGCTGTCAGAGACTTTTTGTTGACAATACTTTTAGTAGAAATTTCATGCCTTAGACAAACAAATTCAACACCTAATTAATCTTTCTTTTTTCATGATTGTTGTTGCTGCTTTTTTTCAGTTTTTTGCTCTATTTTCATGACTAATTGCTGTAATTTGTTTTGCTGTTTTTATTCTTACAAAACATTTTTGTAAGAGTTCCAATACTTGTGGATCATCCACACACTTTGCAAACATTTGGCATGCAGACAAGACAGAGGTAGTCAATGTACCCTTTGAGGAAAAACACCTTTTATATGACGTCTTCAATTTACTTTATTTGAAACTCTGATCTGAAAATATTTGTCAACAAGACTTGTTAGTAGTGAGAAGTACCAACCAAGTTTCCTTTCATAACTTAATTTCTTAAATGTCCCAATCACTGGATCTCCCAAAAAAATATTACATCTTTTTATTTTTGGTGCAAATTACAAGTCCTTCTTTATATAAAAATGAAAAGTGCAAGTCACACTTCAGTAATAACAGCTCTTAAGTTTACTTGTTGTTCTTCTCTGTCTGTCAGCTATCAACAAAATTGTTTTATACTTCGGGCAGTGCATAACTATTTGTGGACCAGAGTTCCAACGCACCTCTGTAATCACATATAGCTACTCCTGTCTCTTGTACAAATGTTTCTCCTTTGTAAGACGCACTCTACTCTGTTGTCAATACTGCTTTAAGTTCAGTGGAAACGACTGACTGAGGAATCGAGATGGCGGTGTTGGAACGTGTTGCTGAACGCTTGCTACGGTCAAGCTTTGTAGATTTAGGTACTGGTACACTGGGATCATCTATGTATCTCTTACACTTCCGAATGAGGTATCCTTCTTTTATAAATGTGAGGGCAAAAGACGATTTGTAGTCACATTCAAAACTGTGATTGGCTTGTGTTATTTCTCACCTTTGCCATTAACACAACTAAAGTGAGTTTCGAGTCTTTGTTTCCTCGACAACTTTCGGCCACAAATCGTGCATTTGTAATACGATCGATTCTTGTCGATTATTTCTACATAGAGTGAGCTCACATCTTTATTTATATCACCAAGCTATCCATCTTCTAGAAGCAGAGAACCGGTCGGAGAAGTCAGAATAAAGTTGGACGCTTCTCTTAACACTGCAATCGGCAAGCCAGCGGATTCACTTTGCTAGCCAATGACAAGTCCTAAAAGATCCACGTGATCATGCCCGTGATCGGAAACAAAGAAGACTCCATTTGGCGCTCATCTTTGAATGTACTTTTCATCGGTTGATCGCTTTTCTCAACGGTTTTGCTTAATATAACATTTCTAAAGATAGCTTTTATTGTGGTTCAATGGGAAAACGAGAATAGCGTGAGTGTTGTAAAAGAGAAGAAAGTCGTTGGCGCCGTGGAGTTAAAAGAAGGGACAACAGTTGACATATTGACTGGTACAAACAAGGGTCGAGTGGCCATCTGTAAAGCTACGATTTTGAAAGTTTGTGGTGAGTAAAAATTGCGATATTCGTTGTGATCAAAATCTTATAAAAGAATAGATGTAGCGGGTTGAATTAAGCTTACATAACGCTCGGCGCAACTGAAACTAGAATAATTCTGAGAATCGAATCGGTCACTTGCATGCCGCAGTTTCTTAAGCTTATGCTTTACAATGAAATAAACCCATCAGTAAGGTTTTAAGATTCCTCTAGTCACGTTTGGGAACATTCAAGATTCATAACAAACCTTAGTACATAAAGAAGCCCTCCTTGGTAAAAACAAAATAATGTATTCAGCCCTTTTTTAGTAAAATCCATGAGAGAGATGTACTAACTCCAATATAAAAGTCACTCAATATAACAGATTTCTCAATTTGAGAATCCAATGAATGCCCTTTTCCTCATAGCCATCTTAAAAGCCTGTTCTGAGCTTTAAACATACATATTTTAATATATGTTTTTTTTTCAAATTCAGATGTCAAGGAATCCAGATACAAAATGGTCAAGGTTCTTGTTGACAACCTCATTCAATGCCAACTCATTGTGAGTCCAGGAAAAAAAATACAAACAGTACAAGCAGCAGCAAGTTTGCAGTTTAGGATAACTTCATTCTAATTTATTGTTACAGTTACAACAAGATTTTAATCAAAAAATCAATTTTATTTGTCTGTAATTAGCCCCTTCACTCCCAAGAATATAACTATATAAATATAACTTAAGATATTGTATTTTATGGAAAAGAATCAACAGATTTTATTCACAATTTGTGTCAAACCAAATTTAATGATTGATTAGAACTATTTTATATGAATAGCTGTAATTGAGGATTAATCTGTATGAAGTTTTCAAGAAAAGAAAAATAAATCAAATTCCATCCTAATATTACCACACATTGATGTTAATAATTAATCAAAAATATTTTACATGTAAGCCTTAATTAAGCTTCTAAATAAATTTCATTGAATACTTGAATTTTAGCTGGGTCATTAGCCTCAAATTTTTGCTTAAAATTCCCAGTAATTCTTAAACATTCCTAAAAATTCCCAAAAATTCCCAGAAATTCCCAGAAATTACCAGAAATTCCTAGGAATTTTTCAGATTTACAGCTTTTCAGGGAAAGTCCTTGGTTCTCTCAGTTGGAATTCCTAGGAATTCCTAGGAATTCCAAGTCCTGTTGGCTATAAACTTGGGATTTCTGGGAATTTCTGGGAATTTCTAGGAATTTCTAGGTTTTTAGAACCAGAGTTGTTATGGTTGGGAATTCCTAGGAATTCCCAGTCCGAATTTACCGTGAAAATTCACACCTTTATTCCTAGGAATTCCTAGGAATTCCAAAAGCCATTTCGCAAGGGTATTACAAAGTAATTAGTCAGGGAAATGGAAAACTGGGGCATATACACCGTGTTTGAAATGCCATGACCATAGTAAGCTAACAGGATTGAGGAGGATGTATGTTGGAATAGGCCCTCTTGTCTGTATCAATAATTTGCTAATCACTCCTGCTGGCAATGTTTTGATGAGGTTGGGCTATCAAGGCAAAGGACTGAGGATTTTAGATGTACAATGGTAAGATGTACAATGACAAGTTCAAGAAATTTTCACAACTAATTTTTAAGGTTAGCCTACCTGGAACAATCATCTTGAACTGATGATGCCCAACAGAACTATCCGTGGTAAGAGGGCAGGCTTTCCTTTCTTCATTTAAAGAAATAATGATGTTATCATCTTTCCACAAGCTCAGTGGAAAGTGAGAGTGAATGAGACTGATATTGTCTTTGTTACTTAAATAAATATCCAGAGCCAGGATAAAAAGTCAGACACGGTCTGCAAAACTCTCTTACTTTAATTTTTTCGAACCAATTGAGCTAACGCTTTACATTCTTGCTTTGTGATTATGTGCATGCCAATTACTGGTAATTTAACTTTTATGCATCAAAATACAAAAAAAAGTTCTCTTCATCTATTTGCCCTAAACATTACAGGGGAGGAGGCAGGTTAAATTAAAAACATGAATTAAAATAAGAGGGCCCCCATTAATTTCAGTCCTAATTAAAGGAGGATCCTTTTTTTCCCAGATTCCCACCCTTTTAAACTTACATATCTTGTGACCAATTCCTTATTTCAATGTTCAGTTTGGGTAGGACCATTGGTAAGAAACACCATGCATTAATAAAAGCTTGAGCTAGTGTATTTAATGCAATCTAAATAATAATATTACATGTTACAGTATGGCAAATTACACAGCAAAATTATGTAATCACACAATTCCAAACAAAGGAAGTCAGGTTATTGACTTGCCTGCTTCAACTTTTGAGGGCTTATGATAGAGAGAATAGACATGGTAAACAGCTACAATTGATACAAAGTTGAAAGTTTGAAAGCTAAAAGATATACATGACAACCATCAGACCCTATGCATCCTAGCAAAAGAAGGGTCATTTACCACCATACCTTCTCCCAAATGTTAATGCTTACAGGAAATCATTTATTTTTGTCTCTAGGTGGTACTGTATTTACAATAGTTCTGCCAACACAAATGCATTTTTCTAAAGTTATCTCATAGTACATGACTGTACAGGTCAAGTGGAAGGTTCCTGCATGGGGACTAACATTTCAATTACCTCAGCTATTTACGTGCTCAAGTTTCCAAATTAGTTGCCTAATTCTTACAGTGGAGTTCAATCCTTTTTTAGGCTATGAAATCATCAAATGTTACTCACATATTCAAATAATTACCTGAATCAAAAGTTATAATTTTTTTTTAGTAATCTGCTACCTTTAATTGTGATCCAGGAATAATAAATGGTATTGAAGAGAAAGGAAAAGTGTTCTTGAAACATTCCACGTTAAATGAAATTTTGTTATGAATGTTAATTGTGATTGCAACAAAAACATCTGTGAAGCTATAACAATTACCTTTCCAGGTAAACAAACCATAATGAAGCATGATATGAATAAATTTAATCTCACCCAGTCTGAATGTAGAATCCAAAATATAATTAACTTACTGGTGAATAGGAAAAAGCTCAAGGTGTTTTTCTTGCCTCTGTCATTCTAAATACCACAAATCAATCATGCCACCACTTCAGTGTGATTTTTTAATGATGTGTGCTTTTTCTTATGAACAGCTTTTTTAAGTATCTATCTTTTACCAGTGGACATCTGAGTTGAATGAAGTGTACACTAGCAATTTGACACATTGCAGGCAAACCCTACTACTGATTAAATTTTGTTTGATCAAAAACATTAGCTAGCACAATTCAAGTTTCCCCTCTTTAAGTATTCTGTGATATTTTTCTATCACATGGTAAAGTTTACAGTTTCCCTCATTTCACTGTCTTCTGTTCACTTGTTTGTTTGCTTTCCTAACAATCTTAGCTATTGTTGCCCACAAATGCGAGGAGCATATACATGAAAATGTGTACAGCTAATAACACTTTAATCCCTCAGAGTGACTAGCATCTAATTTCTCATTCAATATCATCCCTAAATCACACATTAAGGTCATGAGAATAAAGGAAATGATAATCAACTGAAGAACCTTTTGATTGTTGAACAAATTCTCCTTGCCAGCACATAAGGAAATATATAGAGAACAGTTTGGACAATATGCATTCTGATATTGGTGTGTAAAGGGTTAAAGACATCATGTAATCAGTTATATATATGTAGAGTGCTGCTTGAATATATGATTGCATTAAGTACAAATGCCAAGTAAACATCATTCTGTGGTCTTCTACTCTTCCACCCTGGAGGTTGCCTTGTGTAACAAAAAAAAAACCTTTTTAAAGACACCTCTACAATGGTAGGTACACACAACTGACATGTATGAGTGAAGCATGTCAAGCATTGAGGTATGATTGTCAATTTGCCTTTTATTACTTGCAAACAGCTTACTTCTATCAGCTTTAAAAACTTCTGTATCCTCACTTTCAAAGAAAAGCATTTCCCATGAAAATTTAAGCATTAAAGACATAAGCTACCAGCAGCAGGTTTTTCCATTGCAAGTGTTTCATATCATCAGAGTCTCATCACATTTTTTGTTACTGGTACATTTAAAAGCGTAAGAATATTTTAATCATTACAATATGTTGAAATCCCCCATTTTAACCCTTTAACTCCCATATGTGACCAAGAAAGAATTTCTCCTTACAATATCAAAACAATATCAAAACAATATCAAGCAGACAAGTTATGAGAAATTATAAAGAAAAATATCAGTTAGGGGATTATAAGATCCAATACTAAATCCTCCAAACTATCATCACAACAACTGTATAGGAGATAGTAAGGAGAATTACTAATGAGATCTTGGGAGTTAAAGGGTTAAGTCCCTCTGTTAACCTAGACAGAATTTCTCCTTACATGAGAATTAAGACAAATATCAATTTGGGAATTATTGGTTGATCCAATTCCAAATTCTCAAATTTAACATCACATAAATTGTATGGAAGACAGTAAGGAAGATTGCTCATTAAATTTTGGGAGTTCAAGGGTTAAGACACATATGGTAATTATTTGTAACAGAAACACAGCAAATAAATATAACAGTATACACCAGTAAAGTGTTCTTATGCAGAATGAAGTTTCAAACTCATTGAAATTAAGTTGACTTCATAATTCATATTTTAGTTAAAGAAATGTGCAATATCTCTTTACAAGGATGGAAAGGGAATGCCATTTATAAATTTTAAAATAGTAAATTCTAAAAACATAAAGATGGAATTTAAAAAACTCCTAAAATGTAACATATCTATTCACTGAGGTTTTAATCATTAGCTGTCACACAGAGATATAAAATAGGGTTTCTGAAAACAACCAGGGCAATAAAATTAAAGATTCAGGAGAAGCATATGATTTTAACTTGTTTACTGATGTTCTCACCTGAATTCTGTCTGAAATGATAACTCTGCAGGACTTCTGTTTTATCTTGAATTCAAACATAAAATTCAATTATTTGCAGGCAGGTTAAGGAGGAAACTAAAGGATGGATACATGTTACATAAAAAGAAACCCCTTACAATAAAATAAAGCTGAAGCAATTATTGCCTATATGTCTATGCTTCTGAGTACAGCTATAATAGCTATTTTTTAAGTAATTATCTACATAACCAAGTGCAATATATGGTCTTAAAAGTAATTTTATTCTAACCGACTTCCTACCTGAAGGGTGCCTTGTGTATCAAATATATCAAGTTCAGTACCTCCATAGTCACAAGCCGGGCTTTTGGGGCTACAAAATAATAAAATAATCATCGAGTTATACCAGACCAATTTATCGAGAGTGAATTAAGTATAGTTTCCTACAATCGTATGAAAGTTTAAAATATGCTTCACTTGTGCTATATATACGGATTTGTCGTTCTTAATTACTCTTGAAATTCCGAGGGTGTGACTCAATTACTTCAAGAGAGAATATCCAAGCAGGTTACAGAAATGGTTCGTGAATTGTAAACTGTTAATGTGTTGCCAAAATTTCCCTAAATTATAGTGCCGATACGAATCTACCATTCATAATCGCTTATAAAATTCCGAGACTAAACCTCAACGAAGTTAACAGAAAATATCCAGGTAGGTTAAAGAACAGAGTCTCAAAAACTGCTCTTGAAATCGATAACTGTAAACAACAATTATTTACGCGAACCATGTGCTTACCAGCGCGCTTGTGAGGTCAAATTGCCAGAACCCCATTTAATTGCACGATCACAGCTCGGACGCTTCTTGCAAAATGTGATGAGTATCAATTTTAGAGATCAATTTCTCAGTTTCCAGCATAAGGAAAAAAATATCGTATCGCAAGCATGTTCATCATAACGCCTCGAGATGTTGAGCGAAGAGAAAGTGGCTCCATGTTTTGTGACACAAACCATTTCCTGAAGTTCGAACGAATCGAGTAGAAAGCATGAAAACATACGTACGATCGTACGGTCGTACGATTGTACAACCAAATTTTTTCGGCTGGATGGGTTACTACTATTTCGTATAGTTATGGGGCTACGCTCTGCGAGCTCCGCTATAAATACTCTAAGAAGAACGAATTTGAAGTAATCAAAGATGGCTTCATCATTATGACCCAGTGGTGTTCGGGGAATCCCCTAATTATTGTTATGCAACATTTTTCCCAGAAACTCCATATGTCGTCTGCAGTACGTTTCTCGGAAATGGCTCATTTGACAAGTTCAGATTTTCACCTATTTTCGTTATTTCAAAATTTTAGACTTTGTTTTTAATTAAGAGTTAAAAAAACAACAACAACAACAAAACAGAAACAAAAACAAAAAACAAAAACAAAAGCAATACACAGAGAAACAGAATCGCTGATTGAAGAAGCTACATAGAAATATATAGACTCCAGCAGCGATCAAATTATGTATAGAATCAGTCTGTGCATGTTCGGGTAATTCCCTTTTGCATCACTTGATCAAGATCGTTGTGGCGTTACCTCATTCGCTGCTAAGTTTTTCATACGAATATACGGTATCAATTCCTATCGTATCAGTCAGCACAATTTGCTTCTTCCAGTTTCAGACAGCTTTCATACATATAATTATGGCTTCGTTTTTAACATGGCTTGGGCGATTGGCTTTCTTCGGTCTGATAATTACACAGTGCTTATTTTTATCTGCTTATCTCGCGAGGTATGAAGGCAGTTCCAATTGGTATCTCACGACCATTTTCTTTGGCCCAGCAGTTTTTGTTTGGATTATTCGCCTACTATTCAAAGCCCTGCACCTTGGCTGCCTCTTTTGTATTTGGGTTTTTTGTATTGTGGCTTTGGTTGTAAACATGGAAATGGTGTTTGTAATCGTCGGAGATAGAATCGACAAGACAGAGTTTTTAGGACCAAATGTATTGAAAATGATTCTGTGCATCACACCACTTCTGCTACTACTGTTGCTAAACAGGCGATCTCGATGATTCAGACGTAAATGATAAAGAAAGAGGGATTGTTTCCGAGTTGTGTTTTCCCATGGCCGTCGATCTGTTCGATGGAATCGAGATGATAGATATCGTGTTAGAAGAAAGAGAGCACGACTTTGGAATACCGCAAACATTCAGTACAGCAATGATCGTGTTGGCTTGCCTCAGCATGTTGGTATCACTCTGGCAAATGGCAGAAAACAAACTCACCGAAGAGGGGTGGAACATTCGTTTCCGTAGCGCTCTACACCGCAATATTGTTCAAATAGTTTGCGTAAATCTGCTATTCTTAGTTATTCGTGCGGTGGTGTTCTTTGTGTTTGGCAAAAACGAGTCCATCTTCATCAAGAATGGCATAGCAATAGTACTTTCCATTTTGGAAATTCGTCGTAATCGACGCCGTTTACGTCGGGTTGGACAAGAACCCCGACTAGTTTAAAATAGGGACATTTTTGTAGCTCCTCGATTTCACGTTAAGATCTCAAAATGCACTTTTATATTTGTATTACATTTTGCAAGAAACCAATTCCCACTTTAATTAGTCTCTGTAGCCTGATCTGAGTAGACTGTTTTTTGTATCTTCTATGGTTTTATTTTTCCTCTCTGCAAACTGTTCATAAAGCTTACAATTAATTTTTCAGGTATCTCAAATACATCTTACAGAGATCAGTTTATTGTGTTGTATCCAGTCGTTTACAATTTTATATGATAGAAAGAATTTTTGAAATTTTTTTCTGGGGCTTGTGAATTACGCTGAAATGGCAGCTAATTTTTGTATCAGGTGTACCTACATGACCTTCGCCTCAATTTTTTTCTCCTCGTGAATAATGGAACTCTATTCTACATAACAGCCTATCCCAAGATACGCTTTCTGCAACTTCTTTAACTACTTCAGGTTCATGTATTCAACCCTTCGAGCGAAGCATTTTAAGCAACCCATGCAGGCGTGGTCAGGCTTTCTGAAAACTCAGCGGGGCTTAGAAAGTAAAAAAGAAAGCAAATCTGTTTCCTTTATAAAGCTTTGGTGCGAGTGAAGGGAGGAGGGGATAGGAAGGATAGGGAGTTTTATGTAAACATATTTAAAAGAGGGTGTCAATATCACCATTCTCCCCTCCCTGTCCCTTCTCTTGTCTACGTAAAGTGACATAATAAACCGCAAATCAAGCACACCCTCGCGATTATGTTATTAAAAAAATTTAATGTACAATTCGACTCCAACGAACGGCTAAAGGATAAACCAACTAGAAAAATGCAAAATTTTGCAAATCGGCGTAAAGTGGTCGAATATGTGATAGCGCTTTTGATTGAAAAGTTAAGTCTTTCTTGGTTCCTACACTTCCTAACTAATCCTTACAACACTGGAAAACGCTATTCTTGGCGATAAAAATTGACGCATCTTTCTTGAACTTAAAGAACAGAGCCAAACGAAGGCCTAAAAACACACACTTACCGAGTAAAATCTGAAGGGTGATACGGATGATGGATGTATATTTGTAAATAGACTTGTCCGAAATCCTGTTCTCCTCTAATGAAAATGCAAAAGAACAAAACTTATGCAGAAGAAAGAATGGTAGCTGCCTCAAAGCACTTGGGAATGCCAATTTCATTTCCCTCCAGAATAACTTTCAGCATTTCAATTCCGTCGAAGAGATCTAATGTCATTTGGAAGGCCAGCTTTAATAAGAGCTCGCTGTTTTTACTGTCGGTTTCAAATGTGTTAAGCAACAACAAAAGGAGCAGAGTTAGGCAACGGGTAATCTTCAAGACATGTGCAGTGGAATGTACAGACAGGGAACTTTGTGAAAAACTTTGGAAAACAGAGAAGTGGAGATGGAGAGTTTAAGATACCTACAAGTATTTGTATTTCAAGAGATGGACGTTTTATCGTCGTAGCGGAGTGTAAAGAACAGCAGAATTCAGGTGTTTACAATGGATGGTGAACCTGTGTTTAAGTTTGGAGACAGCGGCCCAGAGAGGCTGAATCATCCGCTCGTTTGCATTTGTTTCGTGGACAAACTCATTGTAACTGATCCTGGAATTTCGAAAGATTTTGGGACAGGATTGATCGCCATGGCTTCCATGAGTTTTCTGTTGACCCTGTTACAAAATGGTGGAAACAACCTCGGCAAAATTGATGGATGCGTTTCGCGTCGTAAAAAAGCGGTGATTGCGCCTTAGACACAATCAAAACAGAAATATTTTATAAATTGTGCTGACGAGGAAAGAAGGTTTCATTCATCGCTTTAGGGCTTGTTTGTGATAACACAACATTTGTGTTTGTGAGATTTCTCTTTTCGAAATATTATTCATTTTGCCGCTCTAAACAGTGTACTTTCTTTTTTTGGAAGGGTAAAGAGTCGGTATTTTTAAACTCTACAGCCTTGTTCTAACAGTTGATAAAAACAATTATGCAGAAAAGCTTTCGGATGTTGTTGTTTAACTTTCATGGTCTGTTGACCCAAACAGTTTACAACCCTAACTGTTAGACCAAATTGATCATATTATGCAAGCTGAACGCCATTCATGAAGCAAAGAAACTCCCCAAAATTTCCAACATTTGAGAGAAGTCGTCGGAAACTATTTTCATAATGCCACACGTTTTGTTATCTTTCACCTAGATCCTTCTAATTATCAGACAGCTTTTCGAGGAATCCCCTGAAACTGACTATCAGCAAACAAAGTCCTCAAAAAGATAGACCCGGTGCAGCTTTGACAACTTTGTGGGAAATACTGCAGTGAGAGAAGATATTAGAAAATGAAGTTCAAGAGAATAAAAGAGGAAACCGCAAATGAAATTTATATAAATACTCTAAGAAGAATGAATTTGAAGTCATTTTTTAATTACTAATGAGTGGTATTCGGGGAATCCCCGAATCATTGTTATACGACATTTTTCCTAGAAACTCTATATGTCACCTGGCAAAGTTTCTCGGAAATGGCTCATTTGACAGGTCCAGATTTTCAGCGAATTAAAAGTCTCTTTAGTTTAGATGTTTAGATTTTTTTTTAATTGAGGGTAAAAAAAAAAAAAAATAGTGCTGATCAGCAGATTGAAGAAGCTACAAGAGAATATCAGGTCTCTAGCAGTGACTAAATTATGTATGCAATCAGGCTGTGCGTGTGAGCTTCTGGAAGATTCGGGTAATTCCGTCCTTTTCGCATCATTTGATCAGAATCGATGTGGCGTTAACTCATTCGCTGCTAAGTTTGTCTTTTGCTGATTTTTGTGACTTTACAGACACCACTATCCGAACAAAATCATAACCTATTGCAGCATCGGTTAATTGGGAACTTTCATGGGGAAATTATTAGCGGTGAAGACGTATTTGACTAAATCTTCAGAACCGTTCTTAACTGCTCATTAGAATATAATCAGCGGGTTATGACGAATTCACTCCAATGGATGAATATATATGTAGAAAACTACTTCTGAATAACAAAGAAAAAAACTTAGTGAACACTTCCTGTTCCATTTGAAAAGCAAACGTCACTTAAATTCGTTACGACAATATTATCCAGATCATAGGCACTCTTCTTTGATTACTCAAAATCAAGCTTAGTAATCGTCACAATCACAACACTCGCAGATTGAACATATCTCAAAGAGACCAATTTTTAGCAACAAAAATGGATGCATCTCTCTGGTAGCCCCGCCATAGATACATACGGAGCCCCAAAAATACGCAATTAACACAGATTAGTTGTAAGGTTGTGCGCAAACCAGTTGTCCATCTGCGAATTTTCCACCGTCTGGAACCTCTTATCTTTATTTTGACCAGTTGTAATAGAGACAGCAGAAAGCTGATACAGACAAACGCAAGCATTACTTTTTCAAAGCCTTTGGGAACACCATGGCTGAATTCATTCTCTTCAATAATGACATTCAGCATTTCCACGTCATCAAAAAGATCCAACGCCATTCGAAGGGACAACTGCCAGATCAGGTCTCGGTAGACGATGGAATTCGTTCCCGTACTTAAAAGCAACAACGGAATCAAAAGGGCAAGGCAAAGTGTCGTATCTAGAATGTTTGGACCAAAGAATTTTGCTTTGTCGAGGTTATCTTCAATCGGTTCGTCACCTCTAAATATAAACACGACGAAGACTACGAACCCAACGATATAGCACGTCCAGGCAGCAAATATAATAACCTCTCTTGTTTCTTGTCGTCGCACATGATGTAAAGCCATAAAACCAACTGCAGGTATGTACAAGACAACCAATCCATAGAAGCTATCTTTGTGTTTGTATTCTGCAGGATACGAAGCCAGCGAGGAGGCCTGGAGGCCTACTAAGACGAAGAAAAGGAGTCTGTCAACGTAGACTAAGCATCAGGCCATCTCTAAGATAAGTATTTCTTCAAGAAGGTCCAACAACAAAGCTGATGCTATAATAGTTGCATCGAAATGAACTTTACGTCTAATCCAAGAACGTTTCCTAGAAAGAGCAATATAATGAAGTAATCTTTTCCGAGAAAAGCGGATGTGAACAAATACGAAGAAAAATCCAGAAGTGCTGATAGAAGAAGCTACATAGGAATATCAAGTTTTCAGCAATGACCTTATGACGTATGCAATCAGTCTGTGCACGTGAGCTTCTGGATTAAGATCACATGAAGCTATCGCATCATTGGTTGGCGCAAAAATAGAGGTTAACTACCGCGGGAAAATATCCATCTCACGTGGTTTTGATACGTAATTTCCAAATCTAAAACGATGACACTGCAGATTTTAAACAATAAAGTCTTAGACGAGAACAGCACCCTTTTAAAGAGAAAAGCGAAGCATGGATTGCGGATTGGTTTTGGTCGGTCGTTTTCTAGCCTTTCTTCTCCTGTTCGTTCAATTGGGGTTCCTGACAGCTTTTCCTGTTTGGTACAGGGATGATAAACGTCTATTATCCTTGGTGCTGTTGTTTTTTCCTTCCTTGATTTACTATGGGATTTGTCTGGCTACTGCTGCAAAACTCCGTACAGTGTTCCGTACGTGGGATCTCTACATTGTTTGCGGTTTGATCCCTTACATCGCCATCATTTTTGCGTTGTGTGGAGACGCACTCGACAAGGACAATTTCCTCAGCCCGACCTGTTTGAAAGTGATCCTGTGCATCACGCCTGTTGCCTTTCTCATTCTGGTGAATACAGCGAGCGATTTGGGTGAACACGAAGACTATAAAACCCTGGCATGGACGCTGTCAGTAGTAATAACAATAGATCTTGTCGATGGCGTCGAGATGTTGGATATTGTGCTCGATGAGAGAGAGAACAGTCATCAAATCCCAAAAGAGTTGGGATATGCGATGATAGCAGCGGCGTGCGTAAGCTTTCTGTTGACTCTGCTTCAGATTGCGGAGAATAAACTCCACAAGGGGACCATTTCTCCCGACAAAGGATCGGAAAATGAACTCAACGATCGCAAGGAAACCGTCTCTCTTCGTAATGGAGTGGCGATTGTCGCAAATCTTTTGCAGATTATATTCGTGAATTTGCCTTTCATGGCAATGCGAGTGATTGTAATTGTCCAGTACAACAAAGATGATAATGAGTCCATCTTCATCACAAAGAATCTGATCGCCATCTTTCTCTCCGGGATGCAGATCTACTGGATCCGAAAGAGCTAATTTTAGACTTTCTAAAGTATTGATTATTTGCCGCTCCAAATATTGTACTTTGTATTGTACTTTATATTGTACAAACTGGCAGACCAAATTGACCATATTATGCGAGCTGAAGGTCATTCACTTAGCAAAGAAACCCCCCAGGATTTTCAAGATTTGAGAGAAGTTGTTGAAAATTATTTTCATAATGTCGTACGTTTTGTTATCTTTCAACTAGATCCTTCTAATTATCAGACAGCCTTTCGGGAATCCCCTAAAACTGACTATCAGCAACCAAAGTCCTCAGAAAAAATAGACCCGGTGCAGTTTTGACAAATTTGTGGGAAATGTTGCAGTGAGAGAAAATATTAGAAAATGAAGTTCAAGAGAGTAAAAGAGGAAACCGCAAATAAAATTTATATATATACTCTAAGAAGAACGAATTTGAAGTAATCAAAGATGGCTTCATCGTCATGACGCAATCCGTGGAAATGAGTGGTGTTCGAGGAATCCCCTAATCATTGTTATGCAACATTTTTCTTAGAAAGTCTCGATAGTTTTAAATCTTAAGACTTTTTTTTTTAATTGAGAGTAAAATCATATCCTATTCCAGCATCGGTTGATTGGGAATTTTCATGGGGAAATTTTTTAGTGGTGAAGAAGTATTTGACTGAATCTTCACAAACTTTCTTAACTTTTCCTCTCATTAGCACATAGTGACAAGCTCATTAGCCTATATCGAACGAGTTATACGAATTCACTTTAATGGATGAATATATGTAGAAAACTACTGTTGAGTAATAAAAGAAAACTTAGTTAACACGTCCTCTTCCATTAAAAAAACGAGCGTCAATTAAATTTGTTACAACAACGTTATCCAGATCATAGGCACTACTTTGATTACTCAGAATCTAGCTTAGTAATCGTCACAACCACAACACTCACAGATTAAAAATATCTCAAAGAGACCAAGGCTAACGACAATAGCATTTTTAGCGATAAAAATACATGCATCTTTTTCGTAGCCCCGCCATAGATACATGCGGAGCCCCCAAAAGAGGCAATTAACACAGACAATTTGTAAGGCTGTTCGCAAGCCTGTTGTCCCTCTGCGGAAATGGCTTTTTCGACAAGTCCAGATTTTCACTGAATTAATATTTTTTGCAGAACCTCGTTGGTTCAAAATCTTTAGACTTTTTTCTTAATTGAAAGTAAAAAAAGAAAAAGTATCAGAACCGCTGATTAAAGAAGCTACATTAGAATATGAAGTCTCCATTAGCGAGAAAATTACGTACGCAATGTCTGTGCATGTGACCATCTGGAATATTCGGGAATTCCCTTTTGCATCATTTGATCAAGATCGCTGTGGCGTTGCCTGATTCGCTGCTAAATTTTTTTATACAAATATACGGTATCAATTATCATTATCAACATTATCCAGATCATAAGCACTTTATTGATTAATCAAAATCTTGCTTAATAATCATCACAACCACAACACTCACAGATTGAGCATATCTCAAAGAGACCAACGCAAACAACAATTGCATTTTTAGCAATAAAAATTGATGCATCTTTCTCGTAGCCCCGCCATAGGTACATGCGGAACCCCAAAAAGACGCAATTTACACAGATTATTTGTAAGGTTGTGCCCAAACCAGTTGTCCATCTGCGGATTTTCCACCGTCCAGAACCTCTTATCTTTATTTTGACCAGTTGTAATGGAGACAGCAGAAAGCTGATACAGACGAATGCAAGCATTGCTTTTTCAAAGCCTTTAGGAACGCCATGGCTGAATTCATTCTCTTCGATAATGACATCCAGCATTTCCACTCCATCGAATATATCCAACGCCATTCGGAGAGACAACTGCCAGATCAGGTCTCGGTAGACGATGGAATCTGTCCCCGTACTTAAAAGCAACAACAGAATCACCGGGGCAAGGCAAAGTGTCGTCTTAAGAATATTTGGACCGAGGAATTTCGCTTTGTCAAGGATATCTTCAATCGGTTCGTCGCCTCCAAATATGATCACGACGAAGATTACGAACCCAACGATATAGCACATCCAAACAGCAAATAACCACTGTAATTTCTTGTCGTCGAACATGATGTAAAGCCATAGAAAGATGGCAGGAGCGTACAGGGCGACCAATCCATAGAAACCATCTTCGTGTTTGTATTTCGCAGGATACGAAGCCAGCGAGTAGGCTTGAAGGCTTACTAAGACGAAAAATAAGAATCTACCAATATAGACTAAGCACGTGGCCATGAAAAAGATATCGTTTTCAGGTATCTCCACGAAAAGTGTTTCTTCAAGAAGGTCTAATAAGTTGATGCTATATTAACTGCATCGAAATAAACTTTACGCCAAATTCAAGAATGTTTCCTAGAAAGCGTAATACAATAAAGCAATTTTTTCCAAGAAAAGCAGATGTGAACAAATACAAAGAAAAAGCCAGAATCGCTGATTAGAGAAGCTACATAGGAATATCAAGTCTCCAGCAGCGACCATATTACGTATGCAATTAGACTGTGTATCTGAGCTTCTGGAATATTCGGGTAATTCCCTCTTGCATCATTTGATAAGGATAAATGTGGCTACTACTGTTGCTAAATACAGGCGATCTGGATAATTCAGACGAGAATGATAAAGGGAGAGAAATTGTTTCCAAGTTGTGTTTTCCCATGGCCGTTGATCTGTTAGATGGAATCGAGATGATAGATACCGTGTTAGAAGAAAGAGAGCACGACTTTGGAATACCCAAAACATTCAGTACAGCAATGATCGCGTTGGCTTGCTTTAGTTTTACCGTGTTGGTATACAAAAACTCACCAAAAAGGGGCCGAAAATTCGTTTCCGTACCTCATTGTACCGCGATATTGTTCAAATAGTTTGCGTAAATCTACCATTCTTGGTTATTCGTGCGATGGTTTTTGTTATGTTTGGCAAAGAAGAGTCCATCTTCATTGCTAAGAACGGCATAGCAATGGTACTTTCCATTTTGGAAATTTGTAATCTACGGCGTTTACGTTGGGTTGGACAAGAAGACGAAGTAGTTAAGAATAAGTACTTTTTTGTAGCTCCTCGATTTCATCTTAAGATCTCAAATGCACTTTCATCGTTGTATTACCTTTTCCACACAACAAATTGCCACTTTAAGTAGTCTCCTGTAATCTCATGTGAGTAGACTATTTTTTGTTTCCTTAACAGTTGTACTTTTTCGGTTCTGCAAACTGTACATAGAGCTTACAATTAATTTTTTTTATGTGTCTTAAATATATCTTATCAGTTTATTGTATTGTGTCCAGTCGTATGTATGTGCTAGGAAGAATTTTTGAATTGTAGGGCTTGTGAATTGCGCTGAAATGGCAGTTAATTTTTGTATAAGGTGTACCTAGATGACTGCCTTAATTCTTTTTCCTCTCTTGAATAATGGAGCTATATTCTACATGTATCAGCCACGATTAGGAAAGTGAATTTAACATATGAATAAATTCACAATTACGCAAAGAAGTTCTGTGAGGTTCACTCTTTTCAAGAGAACTTGAAGTCTTGTATCAGTTGATGGACAATATCATAAATTTATATCAAAGGAAATCATGAAAAACTATCTTTGTCACGAAAAGTAAGAAAATAGAAAAAAAAAAAAAAAAAAGAAACGTTAGGGAAAAGGAAAACTGGAGTTTTGAAAAGAGTGCTCATTAGGGATCCGATTGATTTACATTTTGTTTTGAGCAATATCAAACAAAAAGTTTTAGGTTTTTTAAACATAATGACTTAGAGCACCCCACCAATTAGTAATAAAATCGTGTATTATTTTGTTTATTATATAAATACAATAGCCCTTTCCTGACAAGAAAAGCCGACTTTATTAATGAATGAAAATAAAAGAATCGACAATTCCCAAATAAAAATCGCACAGTGGGTTGGCGCTAAGGCTCAAGATGGAAAAATGCGTTGAAACATGTTTACAAAAACAATTATGGGCGTAATTTTTAATTTTCAAAATTCTCATTCATCGACTTGGTCCTTACCAACAAAAGAAATCTTTCAGGTAAACGGACAAATTGGCTTGTATCAAATCTTCCAGTTGCCGATTTTCGCTCTCAGCCGCGAGTAATGCTGTTACCAAAGCTACCGAATACGAAATTTTCGGTTTTTCTTTTCGTATACTGGTTTTCTTTCCCTTCTAGGAAAGTTTGAACGTTACTGTCTGCAAGTGATAAGAATTTTTCAGTGCCGCCATAATCCGAGAAAATTCCCACAAACTACGTTGGATTGAGAATGGTGAAGACTTTGCCGTTCATTCCTCAACCGGACCGAGTGGCACGAAAGGCGAGTGACGTTCAGCAGGTGATTAGCGATATCAAATACACTTGAAAAATATGGTAATTTCTCACACGTTTTGTTATGACATTTCTCGAGGCTGGAAATACTTTTATAGCACCGTAGTTTGTATGATAAATTAAGTTGTCAACCAATCAATCGATTTACAACTCCTGTGAGACAACTTTTTACTGACAGCCTGAAGGCTCACTGCCAAGCCACTTCAGCTGGCTTATGTATTCAACCGTTAGAGAGATATTTGAATAAACAACTCAGGAGTGGTCAGGCTTTCTTAAAACTCAGCGCAGCCCAGAACCTAAAAAAAAATCGGTCATGTAAAAAAAAAAAAAAATTTATTTGCAATCAGACTCCCACGAAGGGCTAAATTTTAAACAAACTAGAAAATACACAACTTTGCAAATGAACTTAAAGTTGTTGAACGTGCGATTGCGCTTTTGATTGAACAGTTCAGTCTTTCTGGGCTCCTAGACTTCCTAACTTCACAACTAATCGTTACAACACTGAAAAATCCCATGAATGATCAAAATGCAATTTTTGGCGATGAAAATTGACGCATCTGTTGAAGGCGTAAATGTAAGAGTCCTTAATGTTATAACATTTGGTCCTAAATGTAATAACATCTGGTCCTGAAGGTAATAAGCCTTCAATGCAATCGTTTAACTGCGTTAGTGCAT